CCCCAAAACCCCAAAACCCCTAGATTTTGAATATAGATAAAATTTAATGAAAGAAAATTTAAATACTATAATTCATCCGCAATGATTTAGTTATAAAAATTAAGACAACGATTTAATGAGATAAATATTAGACAACTCCAATACCATGCTTTAATCAATGGATGACAGAATTGGATAAACCTTAGATAACAGTGCCACTCGATATACATAAGCAGCTCTTGTAAATTCGAAAATGAAAACATACATGTCAAATAGCAGGCTAAACAGTCAAGAATCTAACAATAGCAGTCTGAACAACAACAGAAGATTATCCAACAAAGTCTATGGATCTAGTTTAGGGGGTAAAAGAAGTAGTTTATCCTTAAGTTAAAAAGGATTGACTGTTAATAAAAAGGTTTTGTAGTCTTAAGCTTCAAGCTCAAGCTATCTCAAATAGTTTTCACAATAATCTTCTTTCAGAAATCACGATAGCAAATTTAGACATGTTCAGATTCTCAAAAATATTCTCAATTAAGTTAAAAAGCAGAGAAGAATGAAGAAAAAAGCAAAAAAACTTGATAAAAGAAAGAACACTCTACTGAAAAGGACTGGAAAGATGAGCAGCTAACTTACTATGAAAATCTCATCATTCACTCTTGATAATGACGAGTCAGAAGAATCTGAAGATGAGGATATTGATAACTTAGAATGTAAGTTTTAATATACAATAATACAAATCCAATACTAAATTATGGATCAGTTCTTTAACTTTTCATACCTATTTATATGGTTTATATAACGTAATTTTAGATAGGAATTAGCAGGAGATGGCGAGTAAATTAATTTTCATGCCTGATTCTCAATTCAAGACCGTATTTGATGTTATAGTACTTTTACTAATTTTCCAGCAATCTATAATAATCCCCATTACAATATGCTTTGAGATGGATGAAAATTTGATATCTAGGACATCATAGTTTATAATAGACATTATCTTTATGACTGATTTGATATTTAGTTTTAATACGGCAGTATACAACAAAGGTTTGCTTGTTATAAATAGAAAGCAAGTTATCATATTATATATAAAAACATGGTACTCTTTACATTTTGACCATATCTTATAGGTTTGTTGTAGATTTTCTATCTTCATTGCCCTACGACTTTGTATTCGATGAAATCTCATCATCTTTGCAAAATTAAAATCTAGACAAAGTTATGCAAAACGATTCCTTTGAATCAGCATCTTCAATGCTTAAACTCTTAAGAGTATTGCGATTTTTGAGAATACTGAAATTGCTTAGAGTGTTTAAATTACAAAAGATTATGATGGCAGTAGAAGAGTATATAGTGTCAGATGAGATTATGTTTATTTTAAGGTTTGCAAAGATTATGGTGACTATAACTTTCTTTGCTCATTGGATGGCATGCTTTTTCTGGGCAGTCGGAGTTCAGTATATTCATTTAGCATTTAATAAAGTTTAGGTCATTATAGACTCATCCAAATTCGTGGATTCTAAGTGCATAACTTGAGGATGAAGTGATGAGTAAATAATATGTCTTTTCTCTATATTGGGCTATCCAGACAATGTGTACAGTTGGCTATGGGGATATCTCTCCAAGAAATTCAAATGAATAACTTTTTGTTTTGGGAGCAATGATCTTGGCTGCTGCTATATATGCTCTTACACTCAATAATGTTGCTAAGATGATTTAAAAGTACAATATTTTAGCAGCTCAGTACAGATTGAAAATGATGTATGTGAACTAATTTATGAATTAAAAGGATCTGCCAAAGGATTTAAGATTAAGAGTATGGAGATATCTCCAATATGTTTGGGAAATCAAAAAGCAGATAAAGATAGAGGAAGAAGAAGTATTTGAGATGTTAAATTAAGATTTAAGAGAAAGAATTACAGTTTGCATGAATGGATTTATTTTGTAAACAATACCCTTCTTTGAGAACTTTGAAATGGAGTTTACAAGTGAATTAACTTTTAATCTTAGAAAGCAAACTTATGCTCTTGATGATAACATTTTTGTGGTAATTTTGCTGCCTTTATAATAATTTGATAATAGGAAGGAGAAAGAACAACTTCTATGTATTATATCTTATCTGGAAGAATAGCCGTATTACACAGGCAAACTTTAACTTATTTAGATGACTTAATTGTAAACATCTACCCCTTAATTTCATAAATCCCAATTTTAATTACTCTAATTCATAAAAATTACTATAGAAAGATGACTACTTTGGAGAGATAGCATTTTTTACTGATGAATAGAGATGTACCACTATGAAGTCTAGAGATTTTACAGAGCTTTATATTATCGAAAGAGAAAATTTTCTTGAATTGGCAGAGGAATACGATGATGTTATAAAGTTTTATCATGAAATCAGACATCAAATTTTCACTAAGAAGGATTATAGCTTGCTAAAGTTAGAGTGTTACATCTGCAGAAAGATAGGCCATAGGGCGATTGATTGTGTTAGTTTCGGACACAAGAGAGGAAATTTAGTATAAATTTATAACAGAATAAAAGGTAGAAAACCAGACTATATGTCCACGTCAATGAAAAATCAGTAATCAAGGTATCAAATAAAAAGTTTTTAATAATCTCCAAAGTATAAAAATACTAGAGCTTCTCGAGGCTCATTAGTACTGAATACTTCTATAAAGGAGAGAAGATCATCAGATCCAATAGCTCAATATAAGAAGAATTCATCAAACCGACATCGATCTGTTTGTGTTGGAAGAATGGATCCTGTATCTCCATTAAAAGAAGATTCATTAGGAAATCATACATCCTCTAGCAAAGGGCCACAAAAAAATTACTCTACAAATAATGTGATCAAGCTTAATCAGATCTTGGGTGAAGATGAGTAAATTTCTGATCCAATATTCGAAAATGACTTTCAATTAAATTTTTCCTCTGATTCATTTCAATAAGATATGCCGAAACGATTTTCGAAGGGTGAATCAACTGCTATCAGTGGAATATACAATAGCTCTAAGATAAGTGCAAGCACCAGCGCAGCTGGTGGGTCTCTTAAAGATCTTAACATTTTTCAAAGAAAAAGTTCTCCAACTAATTATAAGGAGAGAAAAAGAGAACAGAGGAAAAGTATAATGTACGAAAATTTGATTTTAAAGCTAAGAAATGATTAGAAGATTGAATCAGAAACCATTAAGGAGGAAAGTGACTCATTCGAGAGTAGTGTTTCAATTGAAGAAGATGATGATAAGTCTGGAAATGATATAACCAACGACGAATTCAAATCATAGTATAATTAAGATTTTGATAGACTAATGCTTCCGTTTCAATAAAACATGAAAAACTAGGAAGATAATCCATTTAAGAATGGAACCTCAAGAAAGCCTACTTATCTTGGTAATAATCTAGCAATTGTGCCCGAAGAATCAGAGTCAATGTACTCTCACAATTTCATGAATTTGTAAGCATCAAATGACTCATCTAGCAGATTTGCAAGAAACAGTGCCTATAATTTTGATTAGAATCCGAACGCTTAAGGACTGATGAGTTCAAGGCAAAGGATGCCCACATTAAAGTCAATAAACTCAAATAATCCAAAATAAAGGAGATAACAATCTAATGTGAGCCTTATAGAGAAGTAAAACCTAATGATATCTATCAACTACAAAGATTTTATAGTTGGAGGCAGTTAGGGAAATGATACTGAAATAATAGAGAATAATAAAAGGATTCATCATTACCCAACTGTTGTCTTTAAAGATGTTGATTAATAATCATGAAAGTGAAGCTCTTTTTAATTGATAGCTTAATTACTCTTAAGTGAATGATTATAATTGAAGTTATTAAATCAAGAATTAAAATTATTTAAAATGAATAATAGTTTTCTTAAAATGTTATGAAAGTATTGAAAATCATAAAATAAAATCTTTTCTTTTTAATTCTTTTGCAAGGGCTTCTAGTTTTATTTGATCTCTTTCTAATTCCAGCAATTAATCTTAAACTGATGTTTTAAGTATAAATGTTGTGAAAAACTCTTTGAAAATCTTTATACCATTTTTATATCTCTTTAGAAGATTATCTTTTTAAATTGCTTCAAATATATCTGTAAGGAAACCACTGTATTTATCGTAGTCATTAATTGCCTTAAATACTTTCTTGTTAAGTTTTAAATATAACTTATTATATTTCTGTTAAAAATTAAGAATATTTATGATATATAGTTACTTTGAGCTTAGGTGGCTTTTGCTTTATGAAATCAATTGCTTTGACATCAATGACTAATTTATATAGGAATGCAGACTTGGCTGATAAATGCCCATCTGCTAAAATCTAAGAATCTAGCTGTTTGCTAATCTCAACATAACTCGGTAACTTGGTAAGAAACGCTTCATTTAGCATATTCTATATATCATCATCTTCGTCATCGATCATTTCATTATTAAGAGTGTTTTAGTGAGGATTATTATTTGACGAAAATAATGTATTGCTTATTGAGTTACTTTCCTATCATAGCTTAATCATGTATTTATTCGGCATTATGAAATTTCGGTACATATAGTAAGTCAGATTCTTAATGAATGGAAATGTCTCAGTCTAATATGAAAGCGATCCATCTAGCACATTCATCTATCTTAACCTGGATACTATTATTAGACCCAAGGGTCCATATTATTTTATCAAATCACCTGTAAAAATAAATCTCTATATTTTAAAAGTAATCTTACTCAAGAACACTAGTTTAATGTTGATGTCGAATTCCAGAAGGACTATTTCAGGTTACCATTCATCGATTATCACTTCATCATATTTCAATTGAGCATTTCGGTCCAGTCTCATAAGTCTTAGAAATGATCTATCATCAATGTCATCTGTTCGAGACCGGAAATCTGCAACATTCGATGTAAGATCTAGTTAATTATAATCTTCTGAATCAAGTATACTATTGATGGACTCTTGGATTCTCTGAGTTATATCAAGAGTTCGCATTTGCTCGTTTATATTTTCAGTTATCCTTCTTGTGAAAGGGTTTCTATTAGCACTTGCATCTGACTATCTGACTTCTGAACTCTCAGGATTTAACTGCAAGTTGAGCTGCTCATTTTGATTCCCTCTTATTTAATTCGGTCTGAATCTTCTACCCCAACTCATTCTGCTTCTTACTTCTGCCTATACTAATAGAAAAAGCGAATATATATGTAATTACGAGAGAATCATTGAGATTGGATCTCAAATTTGTGACCTCTAATTATCTCCTGCGCTCTATTTCTCCTCCAATTTAATTAGAGAATTTATTTCTAAAGTAGGACCTATCTAGTTTTAAAAATAATTATACATAAATTAGCCGCCCACTGCCTTCAAAGTATTTATCAAAAATATTGCTACCAAAAATAGGTATAGATACAAATAGTAGACTTCATACATCTTTTATTGTTTTATTATTTTTACAATCTAACTCAAATTTCAACACTAATTTCACTTACGGGGTTTTGGGGTTTTGGGGAGATCGGAAGAGCGTCGTGTAGGGAA